TTATTTATTTATTTGCAGAGAGAGAGAGAGAGAGAGCACAAGTAGGCAGAGCAGCAGGCAGAGGGAGAGGGAGAAGCAGGCTCCTCGCTGAGCAGGGAGCCCGATGTGGGGCTCGATCCCAGGATCCTGGGACCATGACCTGAGCTGAAGACAGCCACTTAACCGACTGAGCCACCCAGCTGCCCCATAAATATTTATCTTTAAAAGTATTAGTTGGAGGGCGTCTGGGTGGCTCAGTCGGTTAAGCGACTGCCTTCGGCTCTGGTCATGGTCCTGGAGTCCCGGGATCGAGTCCCACATCGGGCTCCCTGCTCAGCAGGGAGTCTGCTTCTCCCTCTGACCCTCTTCCCTCTCGTGCTCTCTGTCTCTCATTCTCTCTCTCAAATAAATAAATAAAATCTTAAAAAAGAATAAAAGTATTAATTGGATATAATAAAGGTGATACAATAAAGACATTATAGACTTTATGGCTTTCAAAATAAATTTTTCGAAAGTACATGTGTATATTTTGTCAGTTTTTCAGAATTTTAAATAAAACATTTCAGTGTTCTAATTTGCTCATCTGTGCTTAAATTTATTTATTTATTTATTTATTTTTTAAAGATTTTATTTATTTATTTGAGAGAGAGAGAATGAGAGATAGAGAGCACGAGAGGGAGGAGGGTCAGAGGGAGAAGCAGACTCCCTGCCGAGCAGGGAGCCCGATGTGGGACTCGATCCTGGGACTCCAGGACCATGACCAGAGCTGAAGGCAGTCACTTAACCGACTGAGCCACCCAGATGCCCCTATGCTTAAAATTTTTTAATAATTGATTTGTTTTAAAGTGTTCTGAAGAAGTGGCTGATGTAAAACTTTTTTTTGAAATATCAAATTTGTGAAACTGTTAATGTCTTCAATCCCTCAAATACTTTATATCTAAATAGAATTTGACAGATATAGTTCCCCATTACCAATTTTAATTTTAAAATTAAAGCTGTGGTTTAGCAACTTATTGCTGCATAACATATTACTCCAAAGTCCAGTGGTTTAAAACAAGAAACATGTGTTTTCTCACAGTTTCTGGAGATAAGGAATTTTTATTTATTTTTTATTTTTTTTAAGCAGGCTACACACCCAACACAGGGTTTGAATTCACAACCCTGAGACCAAGAGCTGAGACCAAGAGCTGGATGCTCCACCAACTGAGCCACCCCAGCAACCCTATGGAGATAAGGAATTTGGGCGTGGCTTTGCTGTGCAACCTTCTGGTTGAAGGTGTCTCATGAGGTTGCAGTTAGATGTCAGTTGGGGCTGCAGTCATGCAAAGGCTTTACTGGGGCTGGAGGATCCCTTCCAAGATGGCCTTTCGTTGGAGGCCCCAGTTCTTAGCCATGCAGACTTCACAGGCAGCTTGAGTATCTTCAAGATTGGCACCTGCTTCCTCCAGAGTGAGTGAGCCAGGAGACAAGCAGAAAGAAGTCAAAATGTCTTTTAAGGTCTAGGTTCACAAGTTACATGTCATTACTTTGCCATGTTGTCTGGCCACACAGATCCACTCTGATCCAGTGTGGGAAGAGCCTACACGAGGATATTAATAATAGGCAGGGATCATGTGACAATCTTGGCTGGCTCCACTGGAAAAGTCATCTGACTCCCCAGATTGACCTGGTCGCAAAATAATTTGAAGTCGCTCATTAGGCAGTAAATATTAGGTCAACTCTGGGTGTGTTTTAACTGGCATCTGAACACCTGAACTTAAAGAATATTGCATGGACCACGTGAAAATATATTTTATATGCGTGTGTACTTATATATGAATGTATGTTGAAAAAGTTTGCATTTTTAAAGCAAAACTGCAACTTTTGAAAAAGTTTAGAAATTGTGTAGTAGCAATCACTAGTCTAATAAACTGAATCCTAAAAAAGAATTAGACAGGAGAGTAACGTCTGTACATGCTTGAGGAGAGGCTTCACTGTTATTTTAAAATAAAACTGCTGTGTCAAATATGGTAGCCACCGACTACATGTGGCTATCAAACACTTGAAATGTAACTAGTCTACATGCAGATGTGCCATAACATTAAAATTAAAGACTTAGTTAAAAAAATTGTAAATGATCTCACTAATATTTTTCATACTCATGACATGTTACAATGATGGTATTTTGGTTGTGTTGGGTTAAATACATTCAAACTAATTTTACCAGTTTCTTTTTACTCTAATGTAGCTACTACAAAATTTAAAGTTACATGTAATTGCATTTGTGGCTCACATTCTATTTCTTTTGGGGATTGCTGATTTGAAATGGAAAAGTTTGGCTGGATTTACAATCCTTTGGCGGGATCACAAGAAAACATTAATCTGTGAATAAAAACAAAAGCTGCTAGATTTAAAGAATGGATCATTTCTCTGAACTCTGCATTAAAGAGACTGAATTATTTGAAACCTGGTTGATGGCAAGAACAGAGAATTTTTGGAAAATGGGGAAACAGTCTCCTGTTTGTTACTGCCTACTTGTTTCTTTTTTTTTTTTAATTTTATTTGAGAGAGAGAGAGAGAGAAAAGGAGCAGGGGGAGGGGCAGAGAGAGAGGGAGAAGCAGGCCTCCTGCTGAGCAGGGAGCCCAAAGCGGGGCTCCACGCCAGGACCCTGGGATCATGACCTGAGCAGAAGGCAGACACTCAACCGACTGAGCCATCCAGGCAGCCCTGTTACTGCCTACTTGTGCAAATGAAGCTGTCCATCAGTGGTAACTCTAAAAAAATGGGAAGAGATCATCTTTAGAAAGTCATCTTGGTCAGGGATTGCATACACACTTGGTCTTCATTATTCATGAACCCGTGTTTGTCAATTTGTCCACTCACTAAGATTCATTTGTAACCCCCCAGTCGTTGCTCCCAGGGCTCTCAGAGTCATTGCAGAGGTGAACAGAGTGGCAAAATATTTGGGTGGTGCAAAGTGCAGTTTTCCAGCTGAGGTTAAAAAAAGTGACACTCTGCCTTCTTGTTTCTTCTTTCATACTGTATACAAGTGTCCTTTTTTTGGTTTATTTATTGACCTTTTTTTTCACATATCTGTGCTTTTCGTTGGTGATTCTGCTGTTGGAAATGGCCTGGGGGTTAGAGCCGCAGTGCTGTCTAGTGTCGTAAGCCCAGGAAGGCTGGGATGTGCCTCATGGAGAAAATCGACATGTTAGATAAGCTTCCTTCAGGCACGAGTTTGTAGGGGAGGAAAAATAATTGTCCCTCTACCCTTCTGGGTTCTTAGCTGAGACCCCTGTAGTAAAAGATTAACAAGAAAAAAAAAACCTGTCTTGTTTGTTGGTTTATTACCATGTAATTTGCTTTGCTTTGTTTCTATTGAAGTCTGGTTGACACATAATGTTCCATTAGTTTCAGGTACAACAAGTCTGGAGCTGTGTTGTGCTCCCTGCAAGGGTAGCTGCCATCTGTCACCATACAACACGATTACAATGCCACTGACTGCATCCCCTATGCTGTGCCTTTTATCCATCCCCATGACTTACTCATTCTGAAACTGGAAACCTGTGCCTCCCGCTCGCCTTTGCCCATTTTGCCCACCCCCCCGCCCCGCCCCGGCAGCAAGCAGTGTGTTCTCTGCATTTATGGCTCCTTGTTTGTTTCTTCATGTTTTGTATTTAAGATCCCACATGTAAGTGAAATCATATGGTATTTGTCTTTCTCTGTCGGACTTATTTCACTTAGCACAATACCCTGTAGGTCCATCCACGTTGTCGCAAATGGCTGAGTCAAACAGAAGTTTATTAACACATCTACCTCGTGTATAGGTGGGAGATATATAGGGAACTATGAGTAACTCCTCGAGGTGGCTTAGAACTCAGGATTAAATGCCATCTTCATGGGGGAAGGGGAGGGGATGTAGGTTTCCTGGGGCACAGCAGATGGTTTTTGGGAAAGCTAACGGGGCCCTCAGAAGACTAGATGGGAGGCCGACAGTTCTGGACAGAGTGTGTCTGGGTGCAGTGCTGACTTCTAGTCTCGTCTCCTGCGATGAGATTCTGTCTTCCCTGCTGAAGACACTCCCGGGAGGGGATTGATGACGACCCTGAGGTCCTTTGGAGGAGCTGTCTTCAGCAGGTGAGGGAGATCAGAGTCTCTCCTGCACCTGCTGTTTTCCAGTGTCTTCAGTTCAAAGTAATCAGTGTTGGGTGGCATATTCTGCCACCCTTCATGTTTTGGTGCTGTGGTGGTGAGTTTAATGTTAATGCACGAAAAGTACGTTCCATCCAGAGAAAGGAGTAAGAAATGTGCAGACCTGTACAGGAGGCTGCTCTGGAAAGTACTAAAGTAACACCTATAGTGTGTGATGGAACGGAGAAGAAAGAAACGGGGCCAAATGTGTGGGTTTATGAGATGACTATTCTTTAAAAAACAATTAAAAATGGGCGCCTGGGTGGCTCAGATGGTTAAGCGTCTGCCTTCGGCTCGGGTCATGATCCCGGGGTCCTGGGATCGAGTCCCACGTCAGGCTCCTTGCTCCTTGGGAGCCTGCTTCTCCCTCTGCTTCTCTCTCTCTCTCTCTCTCTCTCTGTCTCTCATGAATAAGTAAATTAAAAAAATCTTTAAAAAAAAACAATTAAAAATTGCAGTGGAGAGCACTGTTGGGAGGCTGAAAGCCAAAGAAATTTACAGTCACGTTACCCGGCATCAGGAGAATTGTTATGCCCTTCTTGGCTGGCTCACGTGTGTCCAAATAAACGTGTCGTGTGTGGAAGAGCAGGTTTTCAGTGTAAATGAAACTGGCTCGTTTTACAAGGATGTTGGCAAATGAATCCATATAACACAAATGGCCTCTTGGTTGAAAACATTCTACCAGAGGCTTGCAGGAACCTGACCCTAAGAAATAGTCCAGTAGTTACTAATGCAGTGTTTGCAGGGACTCTACAGAGCGTCACTAACTACTGTGAGTAATGGGAATCAACTCTTTCATGCACACAGCCTGTTGATTTTTAATAAATAAATAAACACTATTTTTTAAATGATTTATTTATTTATTGAGAGAGAGAGAGAGAAAGAGAGAATGGTAGAGAGAGAGCATGAGAGGGAAGAAGGTCAGAGGGAGAAGCAGACTCCCTGCTGAGCAGGGAGCCCGATGTGGGACTCGATCCCGGGACTCCAGGATCATGACCTGAGCCGAAGGCAGTCGCTTAACCAACTGAGCCACCCAGGCACCCCTGAGACTTTCTTGATCAAGAGATTTTGTGAGAGAATTTCTCTTTCGAGACTTCTAGTGTACAAGTGTCATTTTTCTTGGTTTTGCTGCTGATGTCCTTGACCTCCGCCAGGAGTCGGCACAGTTCTTCAGGAGTTCTTCTGAGGCACTTTGACCGTGACGGTTTTCACTTCGGTGTATGCCTGCAGCCCATACTCTCCTAGCCCCCGGCCGCTCCCGGACATCTTGTAGCCGCCGAATGGGGACTGGGCCCCAAACACATCATAGCAGTTGACCCACACAGTGCCAGCCTGGAGGGCTTGGGACACATAATTGGCCTTGTCCAAGTCCTTGGTGAAGACAGCTGCAGCCAGCCCATAGTTGGAATTGTTGGCTCTCCCAATGACTTCCTCTATGGTCTTGAACTTCAGGATCTGCATCACTGGCCCAAAGATCTCCTCCCTGGCGATAGTCATGCTGTCTTGCACATCTCCGAACACGGTGGGCTGGATGAAGTAGCCACGGTCAGCAGCCGCCCCTCCACCACACAGCAGCTTTGCCCCCTCCTCCTTCCCAGATTTGATATAACCAAGGATCTTCTTAAACTGAGTTTCATCCACCTGCGGCCCCTGCTCAGTCTGGCTGTCAAAGGGGTTCCCGACCACACGAGACTTGGCCCGGGCAACGCTCCTCTCCACAAACTCGGCGTACACATCTTCTTGCACAAAGGTCCGGGAGCCGGCACAGCAGCACTGGCCCTGGTTGAAGAACAGGGCGAAGTGGGCCTGCTCCACAGCCCAGTTCATATCTGCATCTGACATGATGATATTGGGGCTCTTTCCCTCCAGCTCCAGGGTCACTCTCTTGAGGTTACTCCTCCCTGCAGCAACCTGGACTAGGCGGCCAACCTCGCTGGAGCCTGTGAAGGCCACTTTGTCCACATCCTCATGGGAGGTGATGGCGGCCCCAGCTGTGGGGCCAAATCCGGGAATAATATTGACCACGCCAGGAGGAAAGCCGGCCTCCTTAATCAGGTTGGCCACATAGAGGGCAGTCAGTGGAGTCTGCTCAGCTACCTTCATCACAACCACATTTCCGGTCGCCAGGGCTGGGCCGAGTTTCCAGGCTTGCGTCAGGAGCGGGAAGTTCCACGGAATGATCTGCCCGCACACCCCGACGGGTTCATGGCGGGTATAGCTGAAGAAGTCCCCATCGATGGGAATAGTTTTCCCGTGGTACTTATCAGCCCAGCCAGCGTAATAACGGAAGCATTTGAGAACCATGTCCAGATCCACCCGGTAGGAGATGACATAGGGCTTGCCGTTATCCAGGGTCTCCAAGGCTGCTAGGTAGGTCCGGTCCCGCTCAATCAGATCAGCCAGGCGGTTCAGCAGGCGGCCCCTGTCAGACGCATCCATGCGGCGCCAGGGTGAGCCCAGCTGGAAGGCGGCCCGGGCAGCCTTTGCTGCCTTGTCCACGTCTTCCTTGTCTCCTTCGGCTACCTGACAGATGACTTCTCCGGTGGATGGATTGATGGTGGGGAATGTTTTCTTGCTGACAGCATCATGCCACTCATTGTTTATGAAGATCTGGTTGTAGAAGACTTCAGGCTGCTGGTTGGGGGCCGGCACCGCCTGCGTGGTGGCGGCCGACAGGAGACGGCGGCCCAGGCGGGGCCCGAGGCCAGCGGCGGCGAGGGCAGCGGCGCGCAACATGTTGCAGAGGGCGCGGGCGTGCAGGACGGTGTGTGCCCGGCAGCCGGCTGGCGCTGCTGGGGCGCTGAGGGGTGGGGCCAAGCCCTATTTATTTTTAATAAATAAAAAAAATTAATTGAAGAAAATCAACTTTCTCACTTAAAGATTGAAAAGACTTGAGAAGTTTTATATACATTCAATATTTAATATCTTCCTTAGTGTTTTATATTCTCGTAATTATGTAATATAAAGAAAATACTGCAATCTTTTCTATCAAGGCTCAGTGTAAATGGCCTCTGTGCCTCCAACTCACTGCTGCGTTTTATATAAACAGCAACATATCTGTGTGTGCTATCAGATGAGAAAAACTGGGAATTACGACATCACAGTCTTCTTTAGAACTCATTTGTATGCAACTCAAACAGCCTCATGACCGTCCTTGACAGAATGGATAAATATCCATTAAAAAGAATAAGGCAGCTCTAAATGTAGTGAAATGGAAGTGGCTTAAAAATATACTAAATGAGAAAAGCATAGTACCATGTTGTGTGTACATAGATTTTTGTTGCTGCTGCAGCAAATTATCACAAATTCCACGGCTTAATACAACACAAATTTATTATCTTACAATTCCATAGGTGGGAAGCCTGACACAGGTCTTGACTGGGCTAAAATTAAGGTGTTAGCCGCTGCATTCCTTTCTGGAGGTTCTAGGGGAGAATTATTTATTTATTTACTTAAACTTATTTATTTAAATTCCATTAAAGAGGGCACGTGATGTGATGAGCACTGGGTGTTAGACGCAACTGATCATTGAACACTATATCAAAAATTAATGATGTACTTACTATGTGTTGGCTAACTGAATTTATTTATTTATTTGAGAGAGGGCACACGCGAGAGCACTTGAGTGGGAGTAGGGGGAGCAGAGGTGGAGGGAGAAGCAGTCTCCCTGCTGAGCAGGGAGCCCAACCTCAGGGTGCCATCAGTCGATCAATTCCAGGACTCAGAGATCATGACCTGAGCCGAAGACAGATGCTTAACTGACTGAGCCACCCAGGCGCCCGTAATTGTTTTTATTTTATTTTGTTTTGTTTGCCTTTTCCAGCTTCTGAGGCTGCCTGTATCCCTTGGCTTCCTACCTCTTCAAAGCTAGCAATGTTGCATGCCTGACCATTCTTCCATAGTCACATCTGTCCACAACCTAGAAAAATTCTCAGCTTTAAGGGTTAGTATATGATGACATTAGGCCCACCTGGATAATCGAGGATAGTCTCCCCATCTCAAAATCTTTAATCTGAAGGACACCTGCAAAATCCCCTTTGTCCTGAAAGGAATCTTTTCACAGGTTCTAAGGATTAGGATGTGGACCTCTTGGGGAGAAGGCATTATTTTGCCTGTAGTATGCACCTTTGTGTATAAGAAATATTTATTTAAAAACAGACTATCTCTGGAAGGGCACATAAGAAATTGGTAACAGTACTAGCTTCTGGGGAGAACTGGGTTACCTGCGGGATATGGAGGCTGACTTTAGAGTGTGTATCTTTCATTCGTTTTGATTTTTTTTATTGGTGTGCATATATTTAAAATAAGTGAAGAAAAAATTTAAAAGTCTTAAACTGCGTGGTGGTTCATCAATATTGTATTGTTTGTCTTGTGTACATATCTTAAATACTACTTAAAAGAAAAAATCCAGGGGCACTTGGCTGGCTCAGTCGGTAGAGTATGCAACTCTTGATCTCAGGGTTGTGAGTTCAAGCCCGGGTTGGGCAGAGAGTTTACTTAAAAAAGAAAGAAAAGAAAAGAAAAGAAACAAAAAAAATCCAACTGCTGCTCACCAGTAGGATGGTCACTAGATGGCGCTCTCTCACCCTTCCCGGTCTGTCCCGGTCACACACTTGGTTTTTACTTTGCCTGTGTGTTCATCTTGGGGGAGGAATGATGATAAGGCTTCAGCACAGACTAGTTGCATTCAGTTTCACTGATTTCTTTATAGTCCCATTATGTTTGAAGTCTGTTTCCTCCCCTGTGAAACGGGCTTATAGTAATACCAGCTCATAGAGTCATTATGAGGACTATACAAGAATATCTCTAAAATGCATAAACATCTCTCAAAAGGCACACCTAGTAAGCACTGGATAACTTAGCTATTAATATTAACATCCACCTCCCTGGTTAGTGAGTTTCCCCAACAACTTTTTTTTTTAAAGATTTTATTTATTTGAGAGAGAATGAAATAGAGAGAGAGAGCATGAGAGGGGGGAGGGTACGAGGGAGAAGCAGATTCACTGCTGAGCAGGGAGCCTGATGCGGGACTCGATCCCAGGACTCCAGGATCATGACCTGAGCCGAAGGCAGTCGCTTAACCAACTGAGCCACCCAGGCGCCCTTCCCCAACAACTTTCTAATTGTGTCCCAGTTTACTAGTCTTTGGATGCCTCCAAGACTTGTTCTAGGTAAGAAAGAAGTGTATCTTGCATTTAGCTTTTTGTGAAATACCTTATTCTAGAATCACACTGATTTCCCCAAATAGGGCCAACTCCACAAACCCAAGATGCATACCAAATAAAGTTAAGGTATACCAGAAATCTATGACTCTTGTGAGCTGATCTCTCAGTGAATACCTTAAGGGTTATGATACAATTAGCAGGAACTAGTAAACTCATTTTTTATGAAACCCAAGCTAGCACCACACACATTAAAAGGATGTTTTCTCAAATGTGGCTCCCTATTTCCAATCAGAAAATAAAATTTTAAAAAAGCTGAAGAGCTCTATGAGGATCCCAAATTGGAGGCAAAAAGCAAAGGTGACACACATAGTAGGTGCTCAAGAAATGCTACTCTACCCTGTTCTATGGGACTGTTGGTGTTGTTCTCCCACTCAAGCCTCTTATTTTTAGAAGGCTCAAGATAATGCCATTAAATGGAAGGGTGTGTGTGCTAAGTATAGAAACAGATGTATTGAAAGAGATTTTATGGATTTAAGAGCCAAAGATATCTTTGGGATATTCACTGCCACATATCCCTAGATGGGACAGTGAAATCTGCATCAAGAAAGGGGGTCTCCTGGGGATAGCTCTGGTGTGGACACAGGGTGTCACTATTTTTAAGTTTTTGAAAGATTTATATGTACTTAGAGAGAGAGAAAGCAGGAGGAGGGGCAGAGGGAGAGGGAGAGAGAGAATCTCAAGCCAACTCACCACTGAGCGTGGAGCCCGATGCAGGGTCCGATCCCAGGACCCAGAGATCATGACCTGAGCTGGACGCTCAATGGACTGAGCCACCCAGGTGCCCCGTGGGTGTCACTATTTTTAGAGGCATGCCAGTCTCTGAGGCTGTACCTGGGAGGACCTGGCTTATCTGTTCTGTTTGACTCTTTAAGCTGATACGTGAGAAGGGTAGGCTGGGTTCACAGCATCCTAGAAGCAGGATGTGCAGTGGTGTTAGAGATGCTGTAGGAAAAGTTTCCGGTTGTGCTGCAGGCTGGTTATGGGGGCAAAGCCCTGGTGGGTGGCAAAACCCTGGGGCAGTCAGAACAGAGAGTCTGAGCCAGCAGCACAAACAGCTTGAAGAAGGTGACCTGGAGGACTCCAAGAAGGAGGCTGACTCTGACTGCAAAGGTCACCATGCCCAGGTTGGTGATAGCCTGGTGGTCATGGGGACGGATAAGACCAGAGCAGTGCGCAGAGGTCACTGACTGCTGGTTGCAGGACTATGCATGCGGGGAAGTGAGGCAGCCTGAAGGATCCTTCACAATGGCCAGCACAGCTAGGACCTGCACTTTATTTCTGGGTTTCATCCCTAGAATCTCCTTGGCACCGAAGACCCTGATCTCCAACTAGAGCTGAAAACACGAGCCTGGTTGGCATGGAGACCTGGGCAGAAGGACTCCTTGGTGCTCTGGTCTGTGGGGAAGTAGGTGCTGGAGATAGAGTCAGGGAACTTAAGAATGGTCATCTTTGTGCCCAAGTTAACCTGCGCATCTGGATGGGGGCAGAGGAGCTGACTTAGAGTAGCAGCAAACCCCAGTTCTGTGGTGAGATCCCACCTGCTGGGAAGTCAAAGACTTCTTGCTCCAGCTGAAGCTGGCCACTGATGGCCTCTGCCTGAGAGTCCTCTGGGTAGCGAGCACCGTGCTCTTAGTGTGGAGCTTCTTGTGAGGGACAGTTGCTTGAGAGGCTGAGATATCCCAGAGGCTGGTCTTGATAACACCCACCTAAAGTGGCCCTTGGAATTCAGATCAATTGTTGGAGTACCTGCATTGAAGATCTTGAGTATAGATGTTCCTGATTCGGAGGATGAGGTTACACTGTCCCAAATACAATGCTATAACCATGATGTTTTTTGGACCAAAATGGCAACAGGCTGAGTCAGGAGTCCTTTGGTTCATAGGAATCCTATGAACCTTCAGTTCATATTGGTCAAAAAGCATTAAGAGTTCTGTAATTTTCCTTGTCAGGTTTTCTGCACCTTGTAGTGAATGGGTGTCTATACCATTAGGCAAACCTCACAAGCTTTATTAAGAACTGCGTTCTCCAAAATCAGCAACTTGAATCCTGCAGGATGTATGTTCTTATAAACTGCCTCCTGGATTTGTGTCTTCTGTTTGAAACTTCTGATCTTTCTTCTGAACACCAAGAGAGTTTCCCCATGCTCGGTCATCTTCTCCATCTTGGAGGAGATGTAAGTTAATGCATAGATCCTAAGGATTTGAGAAATCTCACAGGTTTTTGTTGGAGTAGGTCATTGAGGGGATGTGACCACTGGTTGACCCTGTAGCCAGACCCGGGCTGTTGAAGGCCCCTTATCCCTCCCCTTTCCTTGGAATGTGTGCTCTGTCCCACCGTCCCCATAGTGGGAGCTGTTTTCAAGGACATAGCCTTGAGAGAGTAAGGTGTTGTGGAGACTGTCTGTCCTGTGCCATCTGCCTGCACCCAGTTAAGGCCTCCATAAAAACTTTTAAGATTCTGGTGGGTGGGTGCAGAGATATACTCATCTTAACAGCCACCCAAGACAAGCCTTGTAAATAAGTTCCCTTGCTTAT